CCCCGGGCTCCCCCCCTCTTCCCCCGACATTCCCTCAGCATCTGTGCCTCACCCCTTCAGGGACTGGTTTTCACCCCCTGGCACCCCCTCAGGGCCTAGGCCTCACCCCTTTGGGCTCCCTCTCAGGGCTTAGGTCTCACCCCACCGTGTTCCTCCTTAGAACCTGGGCCTCACCCTCTCATGGCCTGGGCTCTACCCCCCGCCCCCCGGGATCCCCCTCAGGAACCAGGCCTCGCTCCCTGGACATTCCCTCAGGGACTGGGCCTCACCCCCTCAGGGCCCAGGCCTCACCCCCTTGGGCTCCCCCTCAGGACCCAGGCCTTACTCCCCAGACATTCCCTCAAGGCCTGGGCCTCACCCCCTTGGGCTCCCCCTCAGGACCCAGGCCTCACCCCGCGGACAATCCCTCAGGACCTGGGCCTCACCCTCAGGGACTGGGCCTCACCCCTTCAGGGACTGGTTTTCACCCCCTGGCACCCCCTCAAGGCCCTCACTCCTCAGAGGGCCCAGACCTCACCCCTTTGGGCTCCCCCTCAGGGCCTGGGCCTCACCCCCCTGGGCTCCTTAGAGCCTGGGCCTCACCCCTCAGGGCCTGGGCCTCACCCTCTCATGGCCTGGGCCTTACCCCAACTTGGGCTCCCTCTCAGGGCCTAGGTTTCACCCCCTGGGCTCACCCTTAGAGCCTGGGCCTCACCCCTCAAGGCCTGGGCCTCACCCCGGCCCCCACCTCAGTGCCTGGCTTGGGCCTAGGCCTCACCACAGCCCCCCCCCCTGCCCTGCCCAGGGCCAGGCCCCATCCCAGGCCTTGCTGCTCAGCCTCAGACACATTCTGGTGGGGACAGTGGCAGGGAGGGGGACGCACACCGTGGCTGGCTTGTGCCCTGACGCCTCTCTGGGTTGTGAGACAAGGCCCCAGCCATCACGAAATCGGACAGCAGGTGATGGGGCCGTGAGGGTTTTCGTGTGTGTTTTTAACGTGGCTGCTGCTGAGCCTCGCCTTCCAGGCAGCATTTGGGTGGTGAGCACTGGCAGGGCCTGATCCTGTCCCATTAGCTGGCGTTGTCTGGGTTTCTTAAGAAAAAAAGAGCTTGTTGGAGTGAAATGTGTTAAAAATCTGAGGATGCTGAGGGGAGCAAGAGCAGGGCACGGCCAGGCTGGGACAGGGGCTTTGTTTGGTGCCAGGCTGGGGGGAAACCATGTCTGCCTCCTCCAGTGCCCCCCTAAAATGGGGGCGAGACGCCGTCCCCCTCGGAGCCCTCTGCTCTGGAAAGCACGTCCCCCCTCCGCAGGTCCCTGCGTGCCTGCCCCAGCGTACGTGACCTTTCTGAGGAGCCCCAGGAGCTCGAAGGCCCCATTAATTGGTGATAAAAGGCTTTGTTTGTCCTCCCACCACACTGCCTGCGGCTTTATCGGAGGAGCTGAGCACACTCTGAAGTCACTCCGGGGGCTATCTTGGGTACTGTCCTTCTCCAGCACAGATTGATAACAGCCCGGCGGTAAACACGGCCGGGAGCGAGGGGGGGGGATAAACCCCCCCATGCCAGCCCCCAGTGACCTCCTCAGCGTTGGGGGGGGGACACGGCGGGTGGGGAGAGCTTGGGCACCCCACCAGGTGGGGAAATGGCTTTTTTTTGGGGGGTGAAAGAAGAAGTGGGGCGTGAATCCGTTGCCGTTGGGGGAGCGGGTGGCATCCTAGGGAAGCAGTGGGGCAGAGGGAATATGTGGGGAGCTGGGAACAAGCCCTGGCTTGTGCCCGTGGCACGCAGGGCTACTGGCTGTGTTTCTGGGGACAAAAAAATGAACAAACCCCAACCCCAGCTGTTAAAAATATACACGGGTATTGGTGCGCTCGCCGCGCAATCCAGAGGTATGCACCGAGGCGCTCGGAAAGAGTTGGATGGGGCTCGGGATCCTGTTTGTAACAAAATCGAGCTCCTGGGGTTTGTTTTTTTTCCCCCCGCAACCACCAAGTCATCGGGGCTGGAAATAGATGAGGAACCGCTGGCTTTGGGGTGAAAACAGGGGGAAAAATGGCAAATAAACAAACAAACAAACAACAAAAAAAAAAGAGGCAAAGGACCACAGGGATAGGCGCCTTGCTAAAAATAAGCTTGAATTCTGGAGCTGAGCATAAATATTTTTCTTTCTTTTACCATCAGCGCCTGGTAGGCAGGGGAGCGAGCAGCCTCTGGGGTGATGGCTGGTTTTAAAGTGAAAAAGCAATTTTTGATCTTGGAAAAACACCCTAATGTGATGCTGAGCGCTTGCACCTCTGCTGGGAGGGCAGGCGTCGCGGGGCTCGCAGCTCCTTCCTCCTTCCCAAAAGAGACCGCCACTCCGGCTGCTCCTCTGCCAGCAGAGGCTCTAGAAAATGGTTTTGGGGGCTAGAAGGGCAAGTTTTAACTATAGTTTTAGTAATCCCTGCGCTTCCCCTCC